GCGATGGATGCGGCACGTTGTGCGTGTGCAGGACCAGGAGCTTCGCCTAGACCGCTGGTTGCGGCGCCAGTTCCCGACACTTCCACAGAGTTTCCTACAGACGCAGCTACGCAAACGCAAGATCCGGCTACAGTCCGCTACGACGTCGAGTTTGCAGGCAGCCCGAGCCAATTCGCTGCTGCTGCAGGGCTCCGTGGTGGCCATCGATGCGCATCTCTTCCGCTCCAAGCTGCAGCCGCTAATAGCGCAGCAAGTAGAACAAGGCATGACAATACAAGGGCAGAACCTAACTACGGCACAGGACAAGAGGCTACAGCAACTGAAGCGATGTATTGCACATCAGGACGCGCAATTTGTGGTGCTCAACAAGCCACACGGACTGGCGGTGCAGGACGGCTCGGGGTTAAATGATTCATTGGCCCGCTACTTGCCGGGGATCGCAGAATCCTTGAGAAATGACCACAATATTGAGCAGGAGGAAGAGCAGCAGTTGAGATTGGTGCATCGACTGGATAAGGAGACGTCGGGTGTGCTGGTACTGGCGCGCTCTCGCCTTGCAGCCGCCAAGTTCTCCGAGTTATTACGGAATGGAGCCGTACACAAGACGTACAACGCATTGGTTGCATCAACCTCAACGCCAAATGCTTCATATTCGAGTCTAGAGAACTTTGAGGGACGAGAGATCAAACTTCCTGTAAATGGCAAACCGGCACAGACACTTGTGGAGCGAGTATTCAAACAAAACCACCATACTCAGCCAGGTACATGGCTGCAACTCCGGCCACACACCGGACGCAAACATCAACTACGCGTGCATTGTGCCCAAGAACTGGGTATGCCAATTGTAGGGGACGCCAAGTATGGCGGCCGTCCTGCCGATCGACTCTACCTGCACGCAAAGCGCATTCGATTCCCAGACCCATTTACACCAGAGCGGTTTATAGACGTGTCTTGCGAGCTGAAATCGTCAGAATAATGATTGATACGCTTAAAAATCTCCAAGATAACGTCGACCACATTGCTAGTCCTTTTTGGACTGCGCTGCAACGGATTTAATGAGGTCCAGCATCATAGCTTGCTGCTGTTGAATAGTAGCCAAAAGCTGTGCGTGCTGGTTTTGTTGAGCTTCAAGCTGTGCGCGTTGCAAGCGCTCAAGCTGACGCACCTGTTCATCAGCATATCGTCGCTGCTCAGCCAGTTCGCGCTCCATCTTAATCTCCAGTAACTCCAAGCGACGCTGGCCATCCCGATCAGCCTCTCCCGTCGCCTCAGCCACAGCGATAGCAGCAGCGACTTCCCCAACTTTCGCCACTGCAGCTTCATGTTGTGTAACATTAGACGGTGGTGTCGGTTCTCCCCTCCGCTTGCGCAGATCTTCCTGGAACTCCTCAAAGGCGGTTATCTTGGCCTGAACCTCAGTCAACAGTTCGCGTTTCCGTTCATACTCTTGCGAAGTGCCAGACTTCCGCAATGCAGCAACATTTCCTGCTCGTAAATGATCCAGTAGCAGCACCACGCGAGCTTGACAAGCTCCTGCTGTCTTGTCCAAATTAAAGTCCGAATGCTGTCGTAATTGGTCACAAACTTCTTGCCATCCGTCCATTAATTGTGGATAAGCCCACGGTTTGGTCTCCAGAACTTGAGATAGCAGCAAAATATCGTCCGCCGACACAAATTGCTTCCTACCTGCCAACTTCAATGGAGACGCAACCTTTTTCGGCGCTGGGATCAACGACAGATCGTCTTCTACTTCATTCGTCTCGTCCCTGGTGCGTTTAGAGGAGCTTTCCACCTCTTTATTCGACTCCAATGGAGCCAAATTCTCCTCAGATACCGTCTCTACTAGATCCGGAGTAATAGCAGCAGTATTCTCATTTCCTGTATGCATTGTTACAGTTCTCTGAGATCGATGGAGTCCATGGCGCTTCTTAAATCTCTGTACCCAGCCCAGTGACACGGACTGGTTGGGTCCTTTGGTGCGCGTGAGGATCTCGTTCGCTTTAGTCCATAGTAAACCTTCACTGAGGATTGGTTGGTCGTCACGAAGTGGTTCATCGCCGTGCTCTTCGCTCTGTTTGGTCATAATGTATTCGTATAATTCAGCTTCCATCTCGGGATAGCGTCCGCTCTGGATACGCTTAGCAGTGGGGTTGGCACAAAGTTCTTCGGGCATACTGGCAATTTTGCCGATGGTGGAGCGACCGATCCACTTGCCAAACTTGTCGTGTACCCATTCGCGAAGCTGCTCCTGCGTCAGCTCGGGCCGCTCGCGATGGTGTGCGCGGAGCTGGTTCTTCTCCTGGATGGTCAAGTGATGACGCGCTATTGCCATGCTTGCAAGATGGCTTCAGCTCTTACGCTCTTGGACGGAAGAAAAAAATGCTCTGGAAGTTGCGGGAAGAGTGACTGGGTGTTTGTATCCGAAGCTCTTGTGCTCGTATGTTGCTCGAAGTGAAACAGGCCGTCAACTGTCTGGACGATATAAGAGCATGTGGCACTAAAACGTGAAAAGTCGTTGAAGTTGCACGTATCGACGTAACATGCCCGTGATTCCTCGCATTCTGTAGCTCATTCTGCGCTTTACTCGCTCTCTATTGAATTGCTACCGATAAATCCGTACGTCGAGATCATGATTTCCGCTTTCCCGATCTCAAACGCCGCCCACAAAGCCTCAAACGATGTCCGAACCGACGACACTTTTCTTCTTGAAGATGAACGCTACGAACGCGTCTACCAGCGCCGCAAGACCCGATTTCAAGCATTACAGCAACAAGGAGATGTCTCTAATGCGTACATCTTCGTTCTAAGCGACGACAAGCCTTGGGAAGTGTTTAGAAATGACCCAACTGATGGAAGACTGCAACGTCGCAAATTGGTCTTCGAACGCTGCCGGAATTTCCCAGTGTTGCATCAAGCGTGCGTCACTGGAGATCGAAACCAAGTTCGCATTCTCTTAGACACTCGCGGAGTGTGTGTATTAGAACGCGATGCCTGCGGGCGCATTGCATTGCATCACGCTGTTATGAAGGAACATTTCAAGATCGTTAAGAGGTTGCTGCGACGCCGAGATTCTAAGTTACAAGCTCATGTTCAAGACAACTCCAATCGAACGTCACTTCACTATATACTAGAGAAAATGGAAGTGTTAGCTCGACACCATAAAGGGCTGAACATTCCGGCGTTAATTACTATAGAAATGAGAATGGAGAGTGGACGGTATCGACAACTATGGAAGCTGGCGGATCGTATGCTGAAGATGTTCAGTCAAAGAGTATTGGAAGATGAAAGGGGTGGTGAAAGTATTAAAGTGCTGGATATGCGTTGTCGTGGAGGTGTATGGGATGTTTGTCGCTCTGGGGACTTGGAACGGTTAGAAATGATTGTTAAAGTGTACGGGTGCTCAAAACATGAGCTGGAATTGAGTGAGTTAAAGCGAACATTACTGCATGAAGCTTGTGAGAACCGGCAGCTTCAAGTTGTATATTTTTTAGTATCAACGATGGGGCTGTCAGTACTGAGACAAGATACTTCAGGCTGCACGGCATTACATTGTGCTGCTCGTCGAGGTTTTCTTGACGTGTGTCAGATGCTACTAGGCAAGACAGGAAATGCTGCAAACTTTCGGCTGAATGATTGTACAGAAGAATTGGTACTTCTTCAAGATGTTCGCGGAAGAACTGCATTGCATTGGTGTCTACTTGGACCATACAATTCATTAATACGGTTGCAACTTGCTGTGCTTTTAGCGCAGTCATGTCCATCCGTCTTACACATTTGCGACCAAGACGGTGTATCCCCGCTTCATTTAGCAATCTGGAGAGGAGAGATTAAATTAGTGCAAGAATTCATTACTCTAGGTGCAAACATCTGCGCTTCTGCACCGATAACTCAACCACCGTACGATAATAATGTGGAGAAGGCATCTTGGGCACCTTGTGGTATTGTCTTTCAACGTCGCTGTCTTCGAAAGAAAGAGAAAGTTGTATCAAAATGTAATCCTGTTGACAATCTACCAGACAGTCCCAGTAATCCAGCGAGCAGTAAAAAGCGCACTCTTGACTGGGGAAATCTTCAGCATCCGGTTGAGGCGTTATGGTATTGGACACAGCGATCGAATGAAGGTAACTGTACATCCTGCGAGATGGAAGCCAGCACGGAAGATGAACTCGGCAGTGAGTCAGTTTATACGGAAGAAGAGTTAGGATGCCGGAAATATGGCGGAATCTGTCGTCGCTGCAAGAATTTTACTTCCAATAACTCGGCTACAGCGACACCTTCCACTCCAGATGAATGGAAATTCCGGGTGTTGTCCCCTTTGTTGCTTGCACTACGGATGTGTGCGCTCAAACGGGATAGTGAGTCAATGCTGGGCCATCGAGTTGCAATTGTGGAGCTACTTCTCATAAACGGAGCACCTCCTGATGAAAGTTATGGTGATAAGGATAATGCAGTGAACACGACAGATTCTTCTGCACTAAGCGAAGGTCTTCGATTCTCATATCAATGCTCGCGAATAATTCCAATGCTGCGTCAGTATGGGGCTAAAGAAATCAAAATCGACAGTATTATGCGGTGGTGCTTCTCGACATCTACAACTGCTGCACAACTAGTTGAATCCGTGCTGTCCCAGTTACTCGACCTAGAGAATGTTGCAAACAGTGCCGAGTTTTTAACGATGCTTTTCTGTCAGAAATATTTCGTCACGTTATGCGAGTTATGGTCGAACAAAGCGCAGAATTTTACTTTATCTACGATCGAAAATGTAGCAACTAACCATGAACGCAACTGGCTCCGAGGTAATTCACCATGGAAATGCATTCACGAGACGTTATTGTCTTGGAGCGAACCGAAGAAAAGACGAATCGGAGTGGGAAATATTGCCATCAAACACCTGAAATTTATATGCGGAGTGGTGCATCCGGAAAGAGATGATATTCTGCATGATCGTTGTGCTTGGGAACTTTTTGAGTATTGCGTGGACTTGTCTCTTCGCCAGCGGGATAATGGTAACTCTTCTACATGTAGTTCGGACCAAAGTATTATGTCATTGGGAAAAATTGAGCAGACCTTGTTGGTTTGTATTCAGGTATTATTCAAATTCTGGAAGCGTAGTGAGGGTGATGATCAGCGGATTAAATCCAAGGCTGGAAGTTGGCTTGAACTCTTAATACTGCGAGGTTACTTTAATTGCGCCTTGGTGATTCTCGAAACATTACATCGGCTTGGTAGCACACATAATTTGCTGGATACAGTTTTTAAACTACACTCCTCCGCAATAGGCATTCGATCACGCTTTGAAGTTGAACAGTTTTGCCACTACCGAGAATTTTTAATCGTGTGTGCTGAGAATCTGTTAAAAGTCAACTCCATTGAGAATTCAGTTGCCTCAGCTCGATCAGTTGTGTACATGTGCGCTAATAATTTGCCGCTCACACTCGTTGAAAGCTGTTTCGAGGCCGTACTTCCAGATAAGCCAACGGAAAGTACACAAGACAAGTCCAATGCACTAACAGCGATAAAAGATATTCGAGTAAGAGGGAAGACCATGGTGCAGTGGATACTTGTGCATGATAGATGCGATATCATGCGGTGGCTGTTAAATCGTATCCCACCTGGAATTGATCGTGGTTTGTATTGGAGTGAGTTTGCTGCAGCATCTACAGCTCAGATGGTCATTGGTGATGGCAAAGAGAGTTGTTGTGCAACCGTTTTGTTCACGCTTTACCGGGAGGATGTTCACACTCATCTCGGACTAAATAAGAGCAAGGACTTGCTTACCAATTTGATGGTAAGAATCGCTATTCCGACAGATTCAGTTGAACTGATGGAACGTTTGCTGATGCTTTGGGAGATGAGTGACTCGGATCGCAGCGAATCAAGTGGAACAGAGCACATTGAAAACTATTTAAAACAAACTGGTGTGCTTCACTCTGTTGCGCGTTGGAATGCAGTTCGGATTGCTGGATTTTGCCTATCTGGACAATATTCAAGTGATGAAACTCGAAGCAATCACGTAAACTGGCAGCAGATATTTAGTGAAGAGAAGCAACACCGTCACGAATCAGATGAATGCACTCCGTTAGAGCTGTGCCGTATGCTTGGGCACAATCACTTGTACAATTTTCTATTTTCTCGACTGCAACCAAGTATTCCAGCAGTTAATCTCGATGACGTCGTGGAGACTAATGACTCTGGATCCATGGGAAACAACGACAATGATTACGATCCAAAGGGACACTGCCAAGTTGGTTTGCTACGAAGTATCATTCATATCAACGTCGAAATAGTAAGACAAGGGAAAAGCGACGAACGCTTCACTGGGTACCAGCGCCATGCTAAAATTCAAGATCCATGGATGTCTGCAGTGGCACAAAACCAGATACCACACTTGCAAGCGATGTCGTTAAGCTCCCATTCCAACATATCTGTGCGAACATTAATCCTAGCTGCAATCAAAGCCTCTTCGTTGAATGCGTTAAAGTGGATATTAGAAGCGAATGCTCCCATTACGACACAATTCTCGGATGAGGAAGGTGCCGAGTGTCTGTATGCTGCAGCCAAGCATTCTGGTGACGCGTATGCGGAAATGACTTTACTCTTGCTGGAAAATCAGCTAAATCCTGGACGTTTATCAGGCGATGGAATGGGTATTCCCTTACTGCATCGTGCTGCATGTTTCTCGAACTCATCCTTAGCTGTTTGTATCATGACGTTGCTGCTAAAAAGATCGGATTGTGACGTGAATGCTCTGGACGCCTTTGGGAACACTGCCGTGTCGTACGCAATTGCAACCGGGTGTATACACAACGCGTGTTTCCTCATCCAGAGTTCAAAGTGTCGACTGGAGGCAGAGTACGAAGGACAGTCGTGTTTCTACTACACTTTGCACCTTGTTCCGTCCTTCGCATGGCGAGCAATAGTTCGGGAACTGTTAATAACAAAGCGAGCTCGAGCGTTCCTCCACTGCGACGCTGACAACAAAACCTGTGGCTGCAAAGGTTACGAAGGTGAAGCCGGAGATTGTGGCTTTTGTGGTCATGAGTCTATGAGGCACCGGTTAACACCGCTACCTTCGTGGTTTCGAGACCAGTACGATACGTATATCGTTACGAGTTCAACGCGTAAACGAGCATCTTCGGATGAAAGTGTCGACAGTGAAATGTCTCGACAATATCTAACGGACAAGTATGACGCATCCTGTGACGAAGATGAAGAAACAGTACTTGAAAACCGTCGCGGACGCTTAGACGTCGAACTACTGAAGAAAATAACGACAATCCGATATGGCGACATCGTTCAGGCTAACGGACTAAACGGAGCCGTTGTAGTTGATGCTCAGATAGCTGAAGAAACAGTCACAAATAGTCCGGAACTGAATACCCTAGAACAAGTGACTGTATTCCAGGACTGCGTGTCGATGGAAGCACGAGATTTGCAACAAAATGCAAGTAAATGCGTTGGTCTTAACGTCGAGGAGATTCATCGAGATGCGAAGCGCGGTAAGAAGTTCACAGGCCCGTGGTGGTTACAGCAGGAGCTTGCGATGGTTCATTCTCCGCGTTGTCTTTGTCAGTCGTCTGCCTTTGTGACCAGCGAGACTCAACTTGCACACGTTGCAGTCTGTCGATGGCTACGTCGCACAGCAATCATCCACATGCCTAGGGATGAAACGGAGAGTGCAATCATCGCGTTGGCTTCCGTTCAGCCGGCTTTTGAGCACTGGCGCGACGTTGTACAACACGACAAACAATTGGCTATTGAAGCCGTTGCTAGCCCCTTTACACCGTTGCCAAGATTTCTGAACAACGTGCTGTTCCACTGGCGGCACAGCAAGCAGTTTTTGGCCTTTCATCGCTGGAAAAACTTCCAGACCAGCACCGAAGTCGCACACCATCGACTGGAGACTCGACTGGAAGCTGTCGCCGCCGAAATGCGTCGGAATCGCTTCCTCACACTGCAGCAGCGGCACCACCAGCTCCTGTACAATACTAGGAGCCTCAAATTGACAAAATAAAGTATAAGAGGTCGTTCAAATATTAATTTCAAGTCATTCTTCACCTCGGCTCACACTCAAGTACTCACTATCAAAACGTGTAAGGCTGGGCCTGCTCAGTCCATTGCTAACCTATAGATCCATCTCGAACACGTCGCCATAGCGATGGACGTGCTCTTCTTCTGGGCTATCAGCGCCTTCAATGTCTTCGTCCTCGTTCACTGTGTCAGCTGACGACTCGGATCTGTTCTTAAGTAGAGACGCCAGGTCACTGGCGCGAGTGTTTTCCTTGACGCTAATGTTGAGCGATTCGCGCGACTCGAAGGACAGTTTGTAGTTCCAGAGCTCGTCCCACAGTCTGGCCTCGCACTGCGACGTGCTCAAACTCTGTTGCTTCATGTCTGCGGCGCTGTAGCGACGCTGAGCTTCGTGCTGCGGGATCGGTACCGGTGGAGAGCATGGCATGGGTTGATAGGCGCCGCTAGTAAACGACGCCGCTCTTCGTGCGAGTCTCTGTTGGCTGTAGAGCCAATAGGACGCGTTCTCGTCCTCGTCCTCGGGCGCCACCATCTTTGGCAGCGGCTCTGTCTCAATGGGAGGCGGCAACAGGCCTCTCTTCTTGAGCTCCTGCTTCTCGAGCTGTACCGCTTGCTTGAGATCCATCTGAAAGCCGTGGCTCAGTCCGTGGCGCGGCTTAGCGGGGCGACTGTCGATGCTCCGACTGCGCTGCACGGGCGGACGAGCAGCGTCCTTCGTGCGCTTGGGGATCGGATGCATCACGCTAGTGGCCATGCCTGGACTTTAAATCTTAACGGAGCTCTTGGTTTTAGACACAAACTTCAATGTGGGAAGCTCAAAATGTGGAGAGCTGCGAAAGTCACAATTGCACTCTGTGGATGTGGCCTGCACTCGTTGGTGTTGATGTGAGCGCCTGCCCGCCGATTGCTATGTGAGAGCTTGGTGGAGGAAGGTGTCAGCGCCAGGGAGACGCGGCTTTGGCCGCTTCCTTATTATTGCGGCTGTTCGCGTGTCTAAGAATGACTTGGACTTACTATGGTGGATCGCAATCTTTGATGGATCATAGAAAACAGTGACGAAGCATTCTGGAACTCTCGTCTTCAACTTCCCCAAGCAGACTGGCCCTCACACCGTGGGATCTGGGCAATTTCCCATCCAGCAATAACGTTGATTGGTGCCGAGACTGCCGAGACTTGGACACAGTTTTTATCTGGTAATTAGAGTGATTTTCTTTGAGCCTCAACTGCGACGTGTTCTAATTTGGATCTTTTGCAAAATATTTGAGAAGAGGCTCAATTTTGGGTGCCCTGATTGGCTGTAGCTTTTTAACTTTCTGTGAACAACACGTGAAAAGGCATCAAATCACCCAACGACAAGCTAACTTCAACGGCGATTGTCTCTCGAAAAGCTGCAATGGGCGAAAAAGTGACCTCTTGTGGTTCTTAACATTATCGCGCTTCATCAGCTGTACCAAACGACGGGAAGTCGGTGCCGAAGTTCCTCTCAGTATGCTGCGTGGGGTCTGGATTCTAATATTACAGAAATATTTAATATAGAAGGTGCGTACAACGCATTTTTTGTAAGCTACGAACTTCGTATTAAAAGCATACAAAATAGAATTGCTATATCAAAAATCAAGTCTTATTCGATAATATGGGTGCACGTATTGAGAGGGACTTCTGTTGCGCGGGTCTATGGGCCTTTCCATCGATTTCGCATGGATTGCTGGGCAAGGTTTGATTGGCATGTAATCCACTCATGGCGTTTGGGTTGTTGATCCAACGACGGGATGTAACTTGGCTGCTGGCGTCGTTGGGCTCATTTCACACGAGCGAAGTGGAGTGAACAACGCGATCCACGTGAATATGCAAGAAACACCTCAAGTGTCAAGAAATGCTTTCGGCAACAAATGGTATTGCAATGCACTTGTAGCACCTTCATCGGGTCTGGCGGTAGTGGTGCCTACTGCTTTTTCTTAACTTATAAAAAGAAATGCCTCGATCTTTGTCGACAACTCTCACATATCGCATCCTGCACTCTTCAACCGTAGCAATATCCGTAAAATGCTTCAACTTGCGCCAGATAATTTATACTGTAGAGGACTATATTCATGGGTAAGAACCCGCGCTAGTAGCGGGCCGCTTTGATGCGGGGCCAAATGACCACTGTAGTACAGTCTGCTCTGCGTTACTGTAGACTGGTGTCGCTGACCTGTATATCCACGGTGCCATCGTCAGTGGCTCCAATGGATACTCGTAAGAATCGATCATGGTTATTATGTACCACTAAAGCGGTACCATTCTGACGTAACGGTTCAATCCGAAAAAGGCAACAACCCTCTCTTGGTCTTGCCTCGCAACAATGGAGCAGCTTTACGACGAGCTGTACAAAGGTCATCACGACACATTTCGAATCGTAATCTTTACTGCTCTTTCACCACTTCTCTTTTCTTGCTACAATTTCATGCAGTGGTGCTGGTGGGCGATCCGGGTGTAGGCAAGACCAACCTACTCGCCACCTTTCTCGCCAACGAGGCCGTCAACGAGCAAGGAATCTCCCGCAGTTTCTCCTCCGTACGCAAGGCCACAATCGGTGTCGAGTTCGCAACTGCCATCGTCCGCCACCCCAACGGCAAACGCATCAAGGCGCAGATCTGGGATACTGGTAACCTGACTGAGTCATCTTATCTCTCGGTCTAATACCGAGCAACGGTCTAACGTTGATCTGCTCTGTGCTATCGTCAGCTGGGCAGGAACGCTATCGAGCAATCACGAGCTCGTAAGGACCATGTTGGGTCTTCTAGTGACAGTATTGAGTTTATTGTGTTGATGTTATAATTTTCGTAGTCACTATCGACGAGCATCGGGAGCGCTCCTGGTGTTTGACGTGACCAACCACGAGACCTTCAACAATGCGCAAGAGCACTGGCTCAAGGAGCTTAAGGCTGCAGCAAGTCTCAGCAGTACACTTACGAGTTGCATCATGCTGGTGGGGAACAAAGTGGACTTGGAGTCGTCCCACGCGATCCAGGACGCTAACTACGTGGATCAGGAGCTCCATGAGTCGACAGCTACAACGTTAGGACTCATGCACCAGCGCGCATCAGCCAAGACCTGTCACAATGTGCGTCGAGCGTTTGAAGATCTGGTAATTGCCGTTTACAATGCCGACAAAAGCAAACAACAGAGAACTGACGTAGTACCAGTCATCCAGCTCGAATCGACATCAAAGTCAGCAGCCCCAAACAACTCAAAGTCTACCGAGACCAAATGCTGCTAGGTGCAAATACTGACCTTAATACCTCGCTTAAACAGAGTGCGAGAGTGCTAGTAGAAGATAGGATGAACACAGCTTCACTACTAAAACCGATACTGGAGCTAGAATACTTGCTATTTGAAGTACCACATCGATTGTGTTCCGGTGCGGTACAGTGAGTAGCATCAGTAGTGTGTGTAGTCTGCCTACAACTTACTCAACTGGCCTCGAGTTCGCTTGGCAATACCAGTATACAGTGGGTCAATGTGTTTCTCCTCTGTTGTAGCATCACCGATGGGTTTGCCGTCTGGCGATATGAAGAGCGTTCCCACACGTTCCCCCTTGACAATGCGTAGCAGAACTCCTGGCTCGGCCTTGGCGACCACAGCAGCGCGAACAGCCCCGCTATCCACAGCTCTGATACACGAGTGCACCTTATCGTTCTGACCCATGGACGATACTCTAGACTCAGGCACGACGAACGGCTTATCATCTCGCTTAAAGCGCGAGATGAGCTTGCGATCGTCTCCAGAAGAGGTCGAGGCGGTGTAGATGCCGTCCACATCCGTAATGATCACCATGAGATCCACTTGCATCTCTTGAGCGAAGAGCGACGCCAACGAGTCGTTATCCCACGCCATCTTTTCTCCACTTAGCAAAGGAGCTGTTCGACGTGTGATGACGTCGTTCTCGTTGATTACCGGAATAATACCGACATCCAACAGCGTCGTCAGTGTGTTCTTCAGATTCTCACGCACTTGAGGTTCTCGAAAATCAGTGTCAGACGCCAATACTTGAGAGCAATTCAAATGGTACTGAGAGAACAACATCTCGTACAGACTCTGCAGGCCACTCTGGCCTGCAGCCGCACACGCTTTCTCGTAAAACTCCACGTTATCTTCCACTTGACCACCAAGATGTGACTGCATCGACCCCGACAGCAGATATTGACGACGCAATACCATTTTGCCAATAGTGATCGAGCCACTCGATACGAGGATGATGTTGTGGCCGCGCATGTGCAGTATTGCGATCTGCTCGACGATGTTGCCAATCTGCCCCATGGCTAATAATCCCTCAGGGGAATGGACGATCTCCGTTCCGATCTTGATGAGGATGGTACGAGCTCGACGTAAATCTCGACCGAATTCTCGCATCTCTGCCTTGGTGTCAGTCATGGTCACTGGAGGTGGCGAATACTGGAATGGGACCATGCAGCATTTTGAGATTCCTCCACGATTAGATGTACACCATGATGGGAAGACCGACATCTAGTCGCTGATTGGACCAAGATCCATGACGCCTGCGGCACAACCCCAGGGCGAATGCAATCCATTAGTTGATGCAGCGCGGAGTATCTTTCTTAGTCCCTTCGAGAATACAGGATATACTATTATGGGTTAAGTCTGTCGTGAAAATATGTTACGTCCATGTGCGTGCACAAGCGGCTACAAAAAGTCTAACAGACGATCCTCTCGGTATTGATATCCCCCTTAGTGACTCCCTCCGGATAAGATGCTTGAGGGGTCCTCCCGATGACGGTTTGGATATTGTGAATTCCGTCCAAATTTGCCGACTTGGGTCTGTTTGAGGAGCGGGAGGACAATCGCCCACAAGTCATTAGTAGAACCCACCAAGTTTTTTCTTGTCACCTTATTTCGTACTTAAACGGGTCAGCATACTTAATTGTATGATTTGGGGGCAAAGAACCGTCCTGTCCAATTTTGAGTAGAACCCACAATACAAACTTAAGTCAAATCCACCTCTATCCTCATTTGTGAATAGTGATGCAAAAATGACATCTACTATTATTTAGAGGTGCTTAACTATTGACTTTGCCCATTTTGTTCAGGACGACAGAAGAATGATAATAGTGACACCTGCTGTTTCCTTCCGCGCTCTCCTCCCTAAACGCTTGTTGCATCCTACGAAGACCGGCTAGCGCTCGTGGTGGCGCAGACATTGCATCAGCATTGATAAACAGTTTTGCCACCCACTGAAGGCGTTCCTGGAGTTCCTCGACACTCAAGTCCTCGGCGCGGTCACGACATGGTGGATCTTCTTCAAGATCATCAGAATCACCAGCGGCAATTTCTGCATACCGGTGCCCGTCACTAGGGCTCCCCTCTACAACTGTGTTACAAAAGTCTTCGTCCGTGGGCTCGTCCACGATGACATTCTCATCGGGCGGGATCAGGAGTTCCTCCAGCGACATCGGGTCCTTCGCGTGCAGGTGATCCATCATCGCCGTCAACTCATCTGTGATACTGTCCTCCTCGTCTGGGAGCTAGTAGTCACACCCATGATAGTCGAGAAGCCCTGTGTGGCTCCAACACTTGCTAAATATTGCTGCTGGCATCGCATTCCAGCATTCAACACTCCACGCCAGCGTCTGCAGCACACTGACGTTGTACACATTTACTGATGCAGCCATGTCCAGCACCGGATCTGCCTCGAGTTTGTCCAGCGCATGCTGAATCTGTACGCGCCGATAATGCTTCTTAAAGGCCGCGGTAATCCCTGCATATAGAGGTTGCAACTTGCTAGTAGAGTTCGGCGGGAGGAAAACCACTTCAACTTTCTTAAGTATAGAGGCCATGAACCGATGCATTGTCAAGTAGCAACAAGCACTTCCTGTGCTGCTTCACAAACTTTGCATTCAGCTCTGTCAACCGCTTTCTAAAGATAGCCTGGGTCATCCATGCTTTGGTACTATTCGTATTGTTAAACTCGGCAGCCGTTGTATTCGTAAATCCACGAGGCTTCTTCGATTTCCCTACAAATAGAGGTGGTAAACGTTCGGATCCGTCAGCATTGCACGTAAATGCAACAGTAAACCATTTTTTTTTATCTTCTTCTTACCAGCAAGCAGCTTTTGAGCAATAGTGCGGTCAGGAGGCATCGAAAAGAATAAGCCAGTCTCATCCATGTTAAATATTTTCCTGAGGTCATACTGCTTCAGCTTTCTCTACAAGTCACTAATTGACACAGTTGCTGCTGACCCACTCTCTCCATGTGATTTTAGCACTGCCAAATCCGTGCCGACAATTAAACTTCTGTAGCCACCCATTTGACCGCGTGGGTGGCTTCTCTATCTTGAGAATTCTAGCTAAGCGCTCAGCCTTGATTCGGATAGCTTCGCCGGTAACGCAGACCCCCTGTTTCTCGCATCAACCAACCCAATTAGCAAGAGCTGAATCTAACTCCAGATAGCGAACTTGACGTCGGGACTTGGAAGCCAGATTTTCCAACGCATTAGCCTCGAGAAGGTGCTCCTGCTTCAGGATGTTGCTAATTGTTCCCTGCGATAGCCTGCGCTGTAGTTGAAATACGTTTTGGGCCCATAGCGCAAGCTGGACCGCCTCAATGATGGGTTGTCGGGTTTGTGGCGGCAGATTTGTCGGCGCTGGGCGTTCGTTAGCCTATTTCGAGAAGTGGCTGGGGTCTGGGACGGAGATGGCGAGAATGACATTGTGTGCAGGCAAATTCTGAGCCTTCTTGCGGTTCGCGAACCGCAACAACGAACACCCGTCTTCTGAACCGCGTCGTCTGTACTGTATAACAGGTACCGTTCCGGATAGTGATTCCTCTACATAATGATAAAAACGGATTCCCGACGCTATCAATAAAGAGAGGTTCGTCGGACGTCCAAGCCCATCTCCTGCAAAAATCCTCAAATTTCTGATGACCTTCAACATTAACCAATCAACGGTTGGTATAGGAAGAAAGCTATTATTTTAACGAATCGGGGGCAGTAATCAATTTCTCAAAATGATAACTTGGGACGAACTTATGTAGATAAAAATTGACCCAAGATTAGTCCCCAAAAGTCTACTTCCAGCACAATTGCCCTCGGTTCTCGGAATGGGGAAGACCAGGTACGTCCCTCTAATGGTGATACGAGTACAGGGTAGTGTCTAACAGTCATCTACCCCTCCTTAGGACAGAACGCTCGCGTGAAATACGCGATATGTGGGTTGACAAGCGCCTGGAAGGGCTAACGTACCCAAAGATAGCCAACGAGCCCAAAATTCACGTTTCTAGCGTGAAAACAATCGTTGCGAACACCAAGCGGAACGGCTACACCCATTCCAAGCTGCGCGCACGTCGTCCTCGCAAGACTAGCGTGCGCGAAGACCGCCAGATTGTTGGAGAAGCAAAGAAAAACCGGCGATTTAGTGCCGAAAAGATTGCAGTTATGGTGAAAGAATACCACTGTGTAACATATTCTAACCAAACTGTGCGCAATCGTATCAAGGCGGAGGGATATAACGGGCGAGCCGCATCTAAGAAGCCCAATTTTTCAAAAAGAAAAAAAAACGTGAAGGCACGCCTTGCGTACACGAATGCCATGTTGGAGTACAAAGAAAAGGACTGGAGGAAAGTCGTCTTCAAGATGAGTCATCTATTTTGCTTACGGGGGCTGTTGGGCGGGTTTACGTGTGGCGAAAGCCTGGAGAAGAATTTAAGACGAAGGTTTAGTGCCCACATTCAAATCGGGTAGGGAAACGCTAATGGTTTGGGGGTGTATCACCTACAAGGGTGTCGGAGCTCTCCACCTGTGTGAATCAAGCGTGACTGGCACCTACTACAAGTCGATTCTCGAAAAGAATCTACACGCTACTGCTCCAGTCATGGGAATAGGTAAGGACTACAAGTTTGTGCACGATGGAGCTTCTGGACATCGCTCAAAACTCGTCAAAACGTATCTTGAAGAAAACAAAGTGGAAGTGCTCGAGCATCCGGCTCGGAGCCCAGACCTCAATCCTATCTAAAATCGCTGGGCTCATGTGACGCAAGAGTTGCATAAGTCCCGAGCATCTAGTATCGAGGACCTGAGGCTGAAAATCTAAGCTATTTGGTACGATGTTGAGCCAGAGAGGGTTCGAAAGCTATTCCTATCAATGGGAAAACGTCTGCAGCAGGTCAAAGACAATAAGGGGGGGAGGGGTCACACAAAGTACTAGAAGATCTGTGACTTCTCTCATGGAGGCAAGTAAGTGTCGGGAGGATGGACATTTGATAGAACAGGCCGAGACAGCGCAATTGAAGAGAACGCGACTTTTCAGAATTTGGACGTAGATTGTTTTGGAGCTTAAATATGGATACATTTGTTAAATGCATGTAACTGCACAACCAGGACGTTCAACACCGGTATGCATTCGACGGAGAGGTTTTGCAGAATAGTTTCCAATAAGATGTCAAGGTTGCAAAGCCATAATAATGAAGTTCATTTTTTGCCAGTACATTTCACTGGAGATCTTGGACGTAGACTTTTTGTAGCCACTGTACTCTACTACCTCTGTCCCACAAGACATTTAACATATGACCTTAGTGTGGTAAACACAATAATGTTACAATAATGCGATTGGTTAAAATTATTTTTTTATGGGGAAACTAACTCACGGTCCGCAGTTCGCTAATTAGCAACATCCAACCGCAAGCATGGACCTTAGTCCTGACCTTCCACCTCTAGACCACGAAGGCATCATTCGCTTGTTGTTGAAGCTGATGTGGTGAAGCGCCAGTTGGCTTTTGCGAATAAGAAAACTGATTGATGGGAAGTGACCCGATCCAGCCCTAAGACTCATGGTCGACGACGGTGCGTCAGTGATTAC